GGTCATTGCTTGTCGACTTCCCATACTCCATCCCCCATAGGCTGCAGATAATCCAGAACTCTGCAGTTCATTTCCTCTTCTATACCAGGCTCCGCAAACCTTTCATCCCAATCCTTGCCCAGCTCCTCGGGCTCCCCATCATTCAGAGGATACCTTTCAAGATCCTGGTCCTCACCTTCAAAGCCCCTCACGGTCTTGCTCTTCTCTACTTCTGTGACCTGCTAAACCCCTACCAACATGTCTGCTCTTTCCGCTCAGCAGCCTCTGGTCTGCTTCACGTCCCCCACTTGCCCGACACATCATTGGCAGATGGGCCTTCAGCCTCTCTGCCCCCACTTCATCCCATAGTCCCTCCGCCTATGACAATGTCTTCAGTCACCTTCCTAATCTCCATGCGTCGACCCTCCATGATCCTGACCCAACAGCTCAGATCCAAAACCTTGACTTTCCAGCCCAGTGGGACCTCCTCCCGACATGAATGGCGCTGTACAAATGCAATTTTGTATTGTATGTTTTATTGTGTCTGCTGAATTCTGCAGATCTCAGTTCTGTAAGGAGGAGTAACTTCACCTAATAATCTATGTGGCAAGGCTGTAACATATTCAAATTTGCAAATATTTGAGGAGATTTCTGAAAACTGAGGAAAAATGAATGAATGTAATTAAATTCTCAAACATTGCCTTTTCAGACCAAGCAAAGGGCAGCCGGGAACAGTCTAACGTGTGCTGTTCTGGATTTATATCCTTCCAAAAAAACAGGAAAACCTACACTACTGTTAAGAATATTTAGAGCTACATCGGAGAAACCACGAAGGAGCAGCAGCAGCTATCTGCAGGGAGCCAAGATCTAAGTAATGCAACAGGCACAGAAACTGCTCTTGGTGTATATTAAATGTAGTTTTACACCATAACGAATAATTAGCATCTCAGTCTTTTGCTGCTTTTCTTTTTGCATCCGATTCAACATAACTACATTTATTAATACATTGTATATCTTTAGGAAATTTCTTGGAAAATATTGCCGCCTCTATCTATAATCCATAATTAATTGCCAAAGGTATTTTTAATATGAATCTGATAAGATTTGTAAAAGTCACAATGGAATATTTTGATTAAAAAATATCATTTTAACAGCCACGAACTAAAACCACTAAAAGAACTATTGTTTAACATGTTCAATCAGCCTTTTACTCAACAAAAACATCAATTGCTCAAACCAGTCACTCTGTCTCTTCAGCATTAATAAAACAACACTTAGGCTAGTTTAAAAGTTGATCAACAAAATATGGTGCAATTCATCCAACCCAGTGAAAAATTTGTGCCATGGACATTGAACTGTTCACGTATTTGCTAAAAATATACCTAACATGAAACAACTAAGAGATAAAGCCCCAATGGTTCTGCTGTATTTCAAAATGTCGATAAATAATTGCATTACAAGCAAATTGCGCTCTCAAATTAAAAATAGAGAAGTTTATTAACTACTTACAGCTATTAGTGGCTTTTTTATCATTGCTTCTCAAAGTAGTTGTACCTATTGTGCACAATATTTCATTATAAGTGCAATGACAGATATACGTTCGAATGACATGAGACGTTCTGGAGATCTACGCCTTTGTCCTGGCTCAACACAAGTGCAGCCAGAGCTGTGCTGTGGGTTTACTTCAAAGTTATATCTAATAATGACTATGAATTTGATATGGTGCCTTATCATGTAGTCACAATGTCAGAAAGTGTTTGGCAGGATATACTGCAGGATTTATGTTTTGTAGCTTTGTGTTGTGGGCAATACTGTCTGTTTGTTGTACTTTTACACAGGTCTTTTTAAAAAAATAATCTTGAGATTGTTTATTGTTCATTGATTCATTCAATGCTTCAGTGAAACAGCACAGGGACAAATGGTTGAGCCACAACTCAATCGGTACGAATGTGTGCCGAGAGGAGCATGAGATTGGGGCTCTATTCTCTCACACATTCAATGCTTAGTTGTACTGCTCACAAAGAGGTTCAAAGGGAATTCCAGGTATCTGTTATCCATACAATGCTGACTGTAAACTGCGATTGAATGGTTACCTAATTGCCACGAATGACTGTCCGTGTTGGGAGGAAGCAAACTGGGTCTCCTTGTGGCTGAGTTAGGTTCAATATATTTGGTTGGCAAAAGAACGTTGCAATCGAGTCACTGAGAGCGAGATATCTTCTTGCTAACTCTGGAGGCCAAAACCCTAAAGGGAAGAGTGGTCCTCGCTATTCAAGCAGTGATAGGGCAGACCAGTCACTCTGTCAAAGGTTTACTCTGATTGCCATGGATCAGTTAGATTTCGTCCTCCCACCTTCCTGCACATGGGCGATGGTGTCCCTCAGTATCGCAAAGCTATCAGAGATCCTCCAGCCCGGAACCACACAGGTCTGGGCAGAGCAGATCACTCTCACAGTATTGTGTTAATCCACTCGGAGATTCCCTTGCCAGGGTATTATCATCTACATTCAGCACCGACATCGGTTGCCAGATCTTATTTTCCTCCTTCTCCTCCTTCTGCTTACAGAGGATGATGCCTTTTCCCATGGAGTAGGCCATGGTCCCTGCCACCACAATACAATTGTATTGTCAGAAAACAGATTCAAACACCAATTTCTTACATTTTGTGCCAATGGAAAAAAACAAAGGTATAAAAGATGGGAAAATAACACAACTATATATAGAATTATAGCTGAACCCGTTGCAGCTTCACTTGCAACCAAAATGATCCAATATGGATTGTAGATTGACAGACAGACACACATTTCATTTAGACATCATGCTCAGATGGAAGGACTCCTGTGACAGGACTCCTTTTGGGAGGACTTCGTGGGAGGACGCCTTCGATATATTTTCTCTCACAGTCTTCCCCTCTCTCTCTCGATGTCTCTGTTTCTCCCCCAGTCTCTCTCTCTCTCTTTCTCAATGTTTCCCTTTCTCTGTGTCTCTCTCAGTCTCCCTCATTCAGTCTCTCTCCCAGTCTCTCTATTTCAGTCTGTTAGTATCTCTCAGAATATCAGTCTCTCCAGTCTCTCTCTCTCACTCAGTTTCTCTCCCTCAATCTCTCTATCTATCTGTTTCTTGCTCTGAGTCAGTCTGTCTCTGTCTTTCACTCTCTCTCTCTCTCTCTCTCAGAAGAGATACTCCACTGAATTGGTACGTTTCTGAAATTACTTGCCTTGATTTATAACTTGCCAATAATAAATAATTTGACATGCCTTGATGCTCAAAACAACATTTTCCGTTGCAGGAAACACTGCAAGCTCAATCGTGACACTGAAACCTATTTTTTTATATTTAGATATGTGTTCAGCTTTTTCTCTGCTATTAATAGGATGCGTTGTTATTTTCACATTGTTTTTGAAGATGTGTGGTTTGACATTGCACCCACCACACCTGCTACATTGCACAACCCCAATCAAACAGGAAGTCAGTGTCACAGCAACCTACTCTATATCATATTATCCACCTTCGCTTGTTACAATCCATCACAGGGACAAACGTCATCTTTATTTCCACTTTATCTTTCCCTTCTCTCAACACAGTTCTGATGTTCCCTCTAAATCAGAAGTTTGGCAGTTTAAGTCGAAAGTCGAGACTTTGAGCTAAAATTCTGGGCTGAAGCTCCAATGCCATAATGGCTGAGTTCTGTATTGTCGTAGCTGTTGTTCCAGACCCTCGGAGCCGCTACCCCATGTGATGGGCGCTATATATATATATATATTCAAATTGTTCTTATCCTTTTGATGAAAAGTGAAAACCTGTTCTGCGCTGCCTGTTCAGGTATAAGTTAAAGATCGTATAGCATTGCTCCTAAAGGGAAAGCGGTTCTCTGGGTATCTTGGCCAACAATTCCCCAAAGAAAATTGGTCATTCACTTCATCGCTGTTTATGGGACATTGCTGGATACAAATAAGATGCAATTTCGCCTGAAACAGAAACAGTAAATCATGTGAAGCGCTTTCACAAAACCAATCGTGTGTAAAGCGTTATTCTTATTTATCCAAAGGTTACTATATTATTATGAGTTGAAACAGTATTATTTTTAGCATTTAGTTATTTCTTTAATTCACCTGGATCACTCTGCACATTCGACTATGTTTATAGAGAGAAACTGTTTAAGTGATTGTTGCAGTGTAGGGAAGGTAAATGTGACTTTGTAAAAGCTGAAAAATATATTTTATTTGTCATATCTATCATTAAACGTTTACTAAATATTGTTTTAACCTGATACATAATGTACTGTTACTGAAATCATCAGATTTGTATTTATGATTTTGAATTGTATTTAATAAAATATGGAAAGTCGGTCAACATGGTAATGCTTTTAATGATTAAATGCTTAGGTTTCAGAAGAAATGTTATACATTGGCTCATAGCATTAATTTCATCCAATCTGTTCATTTGGCTTAAAAATCTGTACCCCGTGTCCTGTCTCCAGAGTCAGCAGATTCTCATGGTGTAGACTAAAACTGATGTTAAAGGTTTTTGTAACACGTTAAAGGTTTTTTTAACATCAGTTTTAGGCTGCAACAAATTAACAATTGCTTTATTCAGATTTCGCCCATAAAATGTACAGTCAATTTACTTTACAGTATATGCGACGTGATAAGGCGCTAAACAAATGCAAGGATTATTATTAAACTGAAGAGAATGCCATTTCCTTAGCTCTGTATTCCAGCTTTATTTTCTTACAGTTAATTATAATAAACGTGAATGTTTACGATGTTAAGTAAGAAATAATGCAATATGCAGAAAAAACATATAAAATGACAATATTTAACCGTCCTTTTTCCGATCTGAGGAGTGATTCCACTTACTACTGTAGTCAGAACTTTCTTTGCCAATCGAATCCAATTCATTTCTGAACCACGGACACAGGAAATCAAACGTCACTGCCAAATATTTCATATTAAACAGTCAGCAAACGTTTGTTACACCAGCAACTGGTTCAGGGTGAGTCTCAACAACCGATCACAATGATGGCGAGTGATGTGATCTCCTATATTTATCTAATAGGGATTATCACCACAGGTATGGAATTGTACTAAAGCTCAGTCTAAATACAAAACGAGGTAGATAAAATTTTTCAAAATGTGTATAGTGAATACGTCCGTCTTTCTTATCTTCTGATTGTTTTCTCCTCCCTCTCTCTGTTTGTTTTGTCGCTTTTATTCCTCTCTATAATCAGTAATTATTGGTTAATTCATTTCCTGACAGTTGCTGGTGATGCAGCAGTGAAAGTGATCCAATATCCTGCAGAACTCACAGTAATCCAAGGTGAAAATGGTACATTCTCCTGTGAGACTGCCGAAAATCAACACAATTCAAATACAGAACTTTACTGGTGGAAACAAGGAGAGAGTGGATTCCTGAATACAAAACCTGACAACAGGAAAACATTTGAGTCCAAATCATTCCACCTCCTAAACGTGAATTTTCAAGACTCGGGAGTCTATCTTTGTGCAGTGATGCGTCAGGAAAAAATAGCAGGAAAAGGAACTGGATCATGTTTAACTGTACATGGTAAGTGTGAATACCATAGTAATGAAGAATGCTGAAAGGTGAGTATTGCCACATTGTGAAATCGATATGAATAAATTATTTGTTTAATTCTCAACACTCATACAAAGTTATGATTGAACAGCACACAGGACAGGTTTTATTTCAATACTTATTGACCAATAGAATATTATGAAACCAAAGTTTTGCCCCTTCTTTATTGAACTGACCTGAGCCGGCGAATTTATTAAACATAACAAAGTGGGAAGCTGAGTTGCTGAATAATTGCGTTAAGCAATGTTTTTAAATATACCTCCGTACCGCCGTAACTCGAACTTTACTCGATCTGATATTTGATTCTATCCTGAACAAAATTATAGAGATTGTCCCACATCCCTGACAATTCAATGCAATGCTTGAGGATCGATCTTCTATTCCCGCTATTTGGATGAGACGTTAAACCGAGGTCCCTTCTACTTGTTCAGGTGAATATGTGAGGGTTCCTTTAAATTTGTTGCCCTGTGGTGCAGTAAGGACTAACTCAAATGTCATACAATTAATCAATCTCTATTAATTCAGATTAATAATGTTAATAAGTAAATAAAAGATTACATCCCATCATGCTTATGCATCCTCGTATAATGCAGCTCATAAAGATATCAGTTGACAAAACCAAATGCTGTGCGAGAGATAAAGGAGTAATGTCCAATCTAATGATCATTTTAATCGGAATATTTGTCCATCAAAAAGTATCCAAATATTGTTGCATGGTTTCCAGTTCGATATAACCCCAAAAGTATCCAAGTATTATTGCACGTTGAGATGTTTAACTCGTCGTCTTGTTCTTCCTTCATTAGAAGCTGGAATATGTTTCCGACTCCAAGTTCCAATTTTCTTTGTTCTCTTTCGAATCGATCTATTTTTATACTGTTGATTAGATGACCTTTCATCTATTGACTGTTGTAAGATGCAACAGAACTCTCTCCAGCTTAGACCATTTTTTTAATGTGAAAATGACATAAGAAATGAAAACAGTTTGTTGTTTATAAAGTTTTTGTTTCTCCTCATTGAGAAAGAATCTTCTTCGAAGCAAAAGCAGCTTCCCTAATATGCGATTGATCATATGTTGCAAATACATAAGCAGCACATATATCATTTCAGATATTATTTAACACATTAATTGCAGAATCCTACAGATATTAAAGATCCCGTGATACTATTCGAAAGGAGAAGAGACATTGTTCTTCGCTATGTTCTGGCCCATGAATCCATCAGTTAAATTTGATTATTCACTTCATATCTATTTGCGGTACATTGCTGTGTGGAAAACTGACTGTTGTGTTAACCTACAAAAATGCAAATCGCCCTAATTTACAGTGAATCCCGTGAAATGCTTTCAGACGGTCCTCATGGCATGAAACGCTCCCTCTAAGATAGGAATTATTATTAGGATTATTATTCATCAGAATCTCTTGCACCTACAGTCCAGGCAACTACAATTTTCTGATTTATATAATTTTTCTGAATTTGTTCCACAGATTACAGTGTATTATGTGTAGCGATGGGAGACACCTTAACAACATCTAAGTTGCTACATCAAATGCAAGGATTATTATTATCATGATTATTAATACAAAAGGCAGAAGTTAACATTCTAGAAAACCTATTTTACGCACAGTAATGTTCGACAAACAGCATGAAACAGTTTCAGTGCGCAGTTTCAAAGTACCTATTGTAACTGTTGTAAATTAGTTTCAAAACAAATACAATTTAAAAAACACAGTGGAACAAAATTAATGTTGGTGTGAATGGGGAGGTTTTGCTTATATCCCTATTCACAGTGAAATCTCCATTTAAATCTGTAGGTAAGGTCACTATATGCGCAAAGGCGTTACATAAATGCAGGTTGTTGTTGTTCCAGAATGGTGGCAGAGCAAATAATGTGATTCTGCCCCACTGTCTGCCCTACAGTCCCCCCAACCCCACTGAAGATATTCCCCAGAGCTTCTGAAAGAGATCCATCAAAGTCTCTGACTCTTGTGTGTGAAACGGCTGAGGTTTACCCGGGAGATGTAACATTCATCTGGAATAAAGATGGCAATGAAGTTAAAACTGGGATAAATTTCATGAAAAAAAATAACTCAAATGGACTTTACAAAGTTTCGAGCTCTATGGAAGAGCCAAAGCCTGTGCAGAGCGGAGTTATTTATACCTGTCTGGCATTTCACGTCAGCCTCCAGACTCCAGCGGTTGCCGTCTACAACACTGCTAAATCCAAAGGTAATTTATGAAAGACAATTGTTGTTAACTAAATTGTTATTCGAAGATAATTTACATTGATTTACACATAAAATTACAATGATATAGTTTTCTTGTGGAATATTCTTCATCTTCTTAGACTCTGCTGAATCAGAACTGAGGGCATCAAATGTATATCTTTAAATTGTGTTATGTACAACTGTTTTTATTATATGGAATACTATATACTTCCCTTCAAGTTGTGCATTACGTTTTCATCATTTGGTAATTCCACTAACTAGCAATTAGCTTTGCCTATATATCAACATTTACTTCAGTATAATAAAGTTATTGTGTGATTTGCTTTTGAACCGTTTCCATACGGTAATATGTCAAATGAAAATATGATTGATCATAAGGGCGTCCAACTCGAATTTATTTGTATCTGGAATGGGATGAGCTTTGTCTTCCTGGAGGGACTCACGTTATGTAATCTGAAGAGCATTTGATGCAGGTTGACTAGAAACATGGATAAGAAAATCCAGAGTATGGTTTGTTGTACTGCTGGAGTAATGCAAACCTCCCTGACCCCCAACCCCCCCACCACCAGTGACTGGTCTGCTACTCTAAATCTTGCTGACGAACTCCACTGGCTGATTTTTGACCATTAGTGCAACGGACCTTCCAGGACACTTTTTACAGTATTTTTTAAAAACAAATCTGCGTGAACTTCTTTGATCTGATGCACTGTGTAGATAATGAGGCTGTAACGCATTGCTGGGGTCATTAACACACTCAATTTATGCTGTTCTTGTAGGGAGTGGTTCTCAACATCGTAATTTCCTGATTGGTGGATGTGCAGGGGGAGGGCTGGCATTTCTGCTGCTTTTGATTGTAATTGGGAAACGATGCCAATTAAACAAAAGGAAAGGTAAGATATATTCCTATTTTATTTAGTTTAATTGTAAATGTTTAATTTAAATGAACTTTATTTTATAGTTTAGAGGATCCCAGGTCACAATGAGAGGAATCTTGACATCCTGTAAAGCTGTGCAAATGATTAATAGGTTGCGATTGATTTACAATTGCAAATGTCCTCACAGAAACTCACACTGTATACATTTAGCTTCATGTGTGAACGAATGTCAGAAACCTGTTGTGATTGAACTAATAAATTTACATCATAGAAGGCCATTCAGCCCATTGTATCTCTGTTCGATCCTTAAAGAATTCACGCCCAATTCACCTTTTTTTTTAATCTTTCTGCTACAATTAATTAATTTTAGAAAATATGCTATTTTAGAAAAGACAGAATCTGTCTGAGCCGTTTTCACCCGCAGCATCCTGTCAGACTACTCACCTGGTTACACATCCCCAAGTGCCCAATTTTCTGCATTTAATTTCCTCTGTCATCTGGAGTCCTGCAGCTCAGTGGTTTGAGCACTCGTTTTGCAAGCGAGAGACCTGATTTGAATTCCAGGCAGGGCGAGACCTTGGGCAAGTTTCCTTACTCCACATGCCTAATAATAATCCCTCCAAAAAAACAAAACAATAATAAAATTGGTCATTTTCAATCCACGACTGTTTGTGGGACATTGCTGTGCGCAATTGGCTGCCGCGTTCGCCCACAAATATACAGTCAATTCACTTTACAGTGTGTTCTGTGAAGCGCTTTGGGACGTCCTCCCGACCTGAAAAGCGCTATATCAAATGCAAGGATTATTATTATTATTATTATCTCTCTCTCTCTGTACAATCTTCTAGTTCCTCCTTGTCAGCCTCCCCTCACAAACAGCAGATCATCCAGAACTCTGCAGCTCATGTCCTCTCCTGCACCAGGCTCTGTGCCCCCATCAGCCGCAACCTTGACTGGCTCCACTGGCTCCCTATCCCCCGGAGGATAGAATTCAAAATCCTTGGTCTTACTTTCAAGGCCCCCCATGGCCTTGCCCCCTTATACATCTCTGACCTGCTGACCCCCTATAAGCCTGTTCGCTATCTCCGCTCAGCAGGCTCTGGCCTGCTCCAGGTCTCCCGCCCGCCTCGCCATACCATCGGTGGCTGGATTTCAGCCTCTCTGCCCCCTGTCTATGGAACTACATCATACATTCCTTTTGCCTTGTTCCCTCTTTTGCCTCCTTCAAGGTACAACTCAAGAAACTTTTGACTGTGCATTCAGTTGCACTCCTACACCCTCTCCCTCCCTCATCCCAACACTACCCTTTAGGTTTGGGTCCTGATCTCTGACTGCACGGTGCCTTGGGACATCCTCTCGATGTCCTCGATCCTCTCCTCTTCACACTCTACATGCTCCCCCTTGGTGACATCATCCGCAGACATGGGGTTAACTTCCACATGTATGTGGATGACACCCAACTCTACCTTTCCTCCTCTACCCTCAACTCCACGACCACCGATGTCCTGACAGCCTGCCTGTCCGACATCGAGTCCTGGACGAGAGACAACTTTCTTCAGCTCAACGTGCGTAAAACTAAGGCCCTCCTGATTGGCTCGCGTCAGCGCCTCCGCACCTCAGGCGCTGACAACATCAGCATCCAAGGACGCACTCTCCACCTCTCAAAGCCGGTCAGGAACCTCAGCGTTCTGTTCGACCCTGAGCTGTCCTTTCTCCCTCATATCCACGCCATAACTGGCACCGCCTTCCATCACCTCCGGAATGTCGCCAGACTACGGCACTACCTCACCCCTCACGCGGCTGAAACTCTGGTCTACGCCTTTATCACCTCAAGGCTGGACTATGGGAACTCTCTCCTCGCCGGCCTTCCCAGCACCTCCCTCCACACTGCAGGTCATTCAGAACTCTGCAGCTCGTGTACTGTCCCGCACCAGACACCGCGACCACATGACTCCCACCCTCGCTCGCCTCCACTGGCTCCCCATCCCCCAGAGGATCGATTTCAAGATCCTCATCCTCACCTACAAGGCCATTCACAGCCTTGCTCCCTCCTACCTCTCCGACCTACTATCCCCCTACCTATCTGCCCGTACCCTCCGTTCCTCTGGCTCCGGACTGCCTCACATCCCCCGCCCCAACCGCCCTACCATCGGTGGCTGGGCCTTCAGCCTCTCAGCCCCGAGGCTCTGGAACTCTATCCCCCAGTGCCTTCGCCGCCTCCTCCCTTTCCTCCTTCAAGGCCAGTCTCAAGACCTTTCTCTTTGACCGTGCCTTCAGCTCCCCTCTCGACTCTCTACCCCCTCCTCGCTCCTTCCATTCCCTCCCCTCACCCTGACCATTTTCCCCCTGCTCGGGTCCTGACCCAACTCTACAGCGCCTTGGGACGTCCTCCCGACGTGAAAGGCGCTCTATAAATGGAATCTTGTTGTTGTTGTTGTTGTTGTTGTTGTTGAGTGGCACTTTAGAAATGTGATTTTGTTGTTGTTGTTATTGTTCTTATATCTCTCCAATGAAATTAAAATAATCTTCACTGTTGCCCTTTTGTCTCATCCGCAAAGTTAGAAATAGTGCCTGATATACAAAATCCAGATTTTGTATATATTTGGAGAAAAGCATCAGGTATCAGCAGAAATGCAACAGTAGAACCATTAGGATTCTGTTCCCAATATGGTAAAACATGATTTCTCAACAATACATTGATTGCGTGACAATTTCAAGATATTCCTGGAAAATGTGACAAAGATCTGCATATTGTTTTTTATAGAGGGAAACAAAGGAGTAAGGGAAATATTTAAAATAGAGAAGTAGGGAAACATTTAACTATACAATATAAATTCACATTGATATAGCACTATTCATGTCTTGTGGAAAACCCCAAATGATTGACACTGCTTGGATCGGCTTCCCATCTGGTGATGGAATTGGATTGTGGGTACAGGAAAGACCTCTGAAACTACAAAAGAGGAAGAAGTAAATTGTAAACTGGATAGAAGGATACAAATTTACAGCACAGAAGTATGATCTGCATACAGTCACATTCCGTCCACAGTGTCTGTGTTATCTTTTTAAGAGCAATGCTTTTAGTCCCAATTTACCTGTATTTCTCCATTACTCTTCCAGTCAACCCATTTTAGGTTATATCTTCTTGTACCCTTTTGAAAGTGAATGCGAAATTTGCCTACACCATCAACAGGATATCCTGATTTCTCTGTGTGTGGAAAATAAATCTCCTTAAACCGCTATTTGCCATTTTATAGCTATCTTAACCACTGCCTTCTTGTCACTGAATCACTTACCATTGGAAATAAATTCTCCATTGATACTATCAAAACCACTCATAATTTTAAAGACCTCTATCAGGTCACCACTCAAACTTCTTTATTCCATGGAGAAAAATCTCTGTTGCTCCAGTCTCTGCTCATAGGTCACGCCAGCCTTGCCTGGTATCATATAGCTCAGCGGTTAGAGTACTCGCTTTGCAAACGAGAAACCTGGGTTTGACTCCCAGCAGGGTGAAACCTTGGGCAAGTTTCCTTACTCCACACGCCTGATAATAATCCCTAAGAAAATCAAACAATAATAAATTGGTCACTTCAAACCACAACTGTTTGTGGAACACTGCTGTGCACAATTGGCTTCTGCATTTCACCTACAAATATACAGTCAATTCACTTTACAATCCATTCTGTGAAACGCTTTGAGACATCTCGAAGACGTGAAAAGTGCTATATCAAATGCAAGGATTATTATTATTATTGTTGTTATTATCATGTGCTAAATCTCTTTTGCACCCCATTCATTCATTGACATCTTTCCTACGTGGGGTAAACAATCTTGGACACAATCATCTAATTGGTCCAACCAACGTTTTTTACATCTTACTAATACCTCTTTGGTTTTATATTCCATATCACAATGAATCTATTATCTTGTTTTTTCCATCAACAAGAAAGGGGGCGGTGAAGAAGGGAATCAGAGTTACTTAGTGATGGTGTTCCAGAGGCAGCTGTAGCTCCAGAGTGTGGAGCAATGGATGGCAATACATTTGAAGGAATAAGAGAAGGGGGTGGGCAAATGTGTTAAGAAGTTGAAATCATGTGATTTACTTTGAAATTGAGTGAATACTTAATTTATTGAATTTCTTTCTAAGGCTCACACAGAAACCAGAACAGATTGAACCATTGTGAAGAACAGGTAAATTTATTCAATTAATTTCAGCAGATGCTTCAGCTGAAAACAGAATTCTTCAAATGGAAAGTTATTGGTCACCCGACTTCTGCAACCTCCTACCCCCCTACCAACCTACCCGCTCCCTCCGCTCAGCCGGCTCTGGCCTGCTCCATGTGCTCCGACCCACCCGCCCCACCATTGGCAGGAGAGCCTTCAGCCACTCTACTCCCAACCTCTGGAATTCCATCCCCCAATCACTCCGTCTCGCTCCCTCCTTAGCCTCCTTCAAGTGCCGCCTCAAGTCTCTCCTCTTCGACCGTGCCATCGGCCATCCCTCTTCCCCTCCCTTCCCCCTCCTGACTCCAGCTCGGGTCTGAATTGCTGTACACTGTCCATCGCCTTGGGAAGTCCTCCCGACATGAAAGGCTCCATACAACTGTAATCTTGTTGTTGTTGTTATTAAGAAATAATAACCTTTTAAATATGTTCCCTACATGCATCTATTTGTTAAAAATTATAAACTGCTCCGAATATAATTATTCTCAAGGGCTTTCTGATTCGTACTTCCCCAACAATTTTCAGACCAGTGAAGACAACAATCCATCAGTGCCATAGGACGTCATCCCGACTTGAATGGTGCAATATAAATATCATGTTTTTTCTTGTTGTCATCACATTCTGCTTTATAGACGAAGCACGGAAAAGAGAACGAGCCGGTGGCTTATGTTACATTGAATTTAACCAGTTCCAAGAAAACTCCAAGACCTAAAAGACAAGAGGAGAGGACTGTGTATGCCCAGGTATATCTGAGAAACACAAAATGGAAACAGCAACTTTTCCTATCCAATTGAATGTTCTTACTTCTTTAAAGAATGGGACTCACTTCAATATTTACTGTAAGATAGTTTGCACATTTTTTTGGTTAATTTTTCTTTATCCTTCATCTTCACACTCTTGCGCTATCTTATTCTATGATATTATGGTGACAATCAGCCACTGTATAGTCAAATAGGAATTTTTCTTCTGAAAGCTAATTAGGATGATTTTGACTTGTAAAATATTTGGAAGTTATATTTTAAATATTTTCAATTCAGGTGAAGCGCTTTGGGATGTCCTCCCGACGTGAAAGGCACTATATCAAATGCAAGGATTATTATTATTATTATAAAATATTGATTCACAAGAGCATTTTGATCAGTACTAATAGAGGAATCTCCAAATCAGTGAAGCCAACAATCTATCACTGTCTGTCTTACAGACGCTGCAGGGAGCAGAGAAAGAGTCGGTGACTTATGCCAAAATGGATTTGAATCGTTGCAAGAAAACTCCAAGACCTAAAAAACAAGACGAAAACACTGTGTATACCCAGGTATATCTGAGAATTTTTTTTCCTACATTCTATGTAGTGGAACTCACTTCATGCCTTCAGCTCCCCTCTCGACTCTCTTCCCCCTCCTCGCTCCCTCCCTTCCCTCCCCTCACCCTGACCATTTCCCCGCTCCTCGCTCCCTCCCTTCCCTCCCCTCATCCTGACCATTTCCCCCCTCCTCGCTCCCTCCCTTCCCTCCCCTCACCCTGTCCATTTCCCCCCTGCTCGGGTCATGACCCAACTGTGCAGCGCCTTGGGACGTCCTCCTGACGTGAAAGGCGCTTTATAAATGGAATCTTGTTGTTGTTGTTGTTGTTCATTGTTTATAAACTAGTTTGTATATTTCTGTGGTTAATCTTTCTTTCTCGTCTGATCTTTTCTCTCTCTGTCGCTGACTTGGACTATGAAATGATGGCAGCAATCCGCCACTGTTTAGCAAAAAAAAAGACCCATTAATCTCCAAATCATTTGAACAACTGCTACCCTGGTCTTCACTTTTCTTTTCCAGCCTACATTGCTGTCGATGCACAACTAATCCAATAAGGAAAAGAATTGTGGCTCCTGGATTCTGTTCAGCTCCGTTCTGTGAGGAGTAGAGCCTTTACCTAATGAGCCAAGTGGTGCTGTAAATAATAATTTGCAAATATTCGAGGAGATTTCTAAAACGTCAGGAAAAACAAATTAATGTAATTACTTTCTCAAACATTGCTTTTTCAGACCAAGCAAAGGGTAGCCGTGAACAATCTGACGTGAGCTTTTGGATTTACATCCTACAAAAAGCACAGGAAATCCCAGTATTTCTGTTAAGGATACAGCGAATGCAGAGCTTCCTGTGAGAAACCACGTAGGAGCAGCTATCTGCAGGGAACCAAGAGCCAAGTAAAGCAGCAGGCTCAGAAACTAATATTGGTGTATATTAGATGTAATTTTCCAATTTACTGAATGATGTGCATTAATCTTGTGCTGCAATGTTCCTTGCACCTTTTTCAACCATAACTGCATTTATTAGGTTGTTACGTGATCAGTCTTTAGGAAAATTATTGGAAAATATTGCTTACTATATCTTCATCACCATACTTAAAATTGCAAAAAGGCATTGTTTGTGTTAATCTGATAACATCTTGAAAGATAACCAATTAGTTGTATGTCTCAATGGGCAATTTGAATTGCCCTTTAATTGCTCCGAAACTAAAACTTGAATGTAAGTTAGGAACTTCGGTTTTGTGTAATGCATTCAATCAGCCTTTCAATAAAAATAAAACATAAATCGCATGAACCAGTCTCTTCTGGTCACTCTGTCTTTTCAGCATGAGTAAGAAACACAGTTGGTATGGGCTAACTGAAAAGCAGGTCAATTAAAATATCACGTATTTCATATAATGCAGAGAAAAATGTGTGTGCATTGAACTAATGAAATGTTGTTGAATGGCAAAAAAAAAGGCCTAACATGAAACAACTAAGTGATAAAGGCCCAATTGTTCTGTTGTATTTGAGTATGTCAACAAATAATACCATTGCAAGAGATTCGCTCACTCAGATTAAAAATAGAGCCCAGTTGAGGGAGGAAGCAAACATGGTCTCATTTTGGCTGAGCTGGGTCGAATGTGACTTGTTTGGAAAATGAATGTCCGAATCGATTCAAAGCAGGACAAGGCCTGGATGAGAGCTAACTTCCTACAGTTGAATATCAACAACACTGAGGCCCTCCTGATTGGCTCCTATATGCGACTCCGCACTTCAAACGCTGGCAGCATCACCATCTAAGGAAGCACTGTCCACCTCACTGAGCCAGTCAGGAACCTTGGCATCTTGTTTGACCTCAACTGTCCTTTCTCCCATACATCCATGCCATGACTCGATCTGCCTTCCCCCACCTCCGCATTGTCACCTGGTTTCACCACTGCCTCAGCCCTCAGGCTATCGACACCCTCATTCTCACTTTCATCACATCTATGTACAATTACAACAATCCTCTGCTTGTTGGCCTTCCCATCCCTTTCCTCCACAAGCTCCAGATCATCCAGAACTCTGCAGCTCGTGTTTTCTCCTGCACCTGGTTCTGTGACCCAATCACCGCCTCCCTTGCCACACTGCTTTGGTTCCCCATCCCTCAGAGGTTCAGAGCAAACAGACCAAATAATAGAACTGCTTCCGAAAGGCACCAAGGGTTAGACATGCAAATCAAGCTTGGGGCAAAGAAATGGCACATGATGAGAAGGTGATATTACGGGGATGGAGCATGATCAAGGGAGTAGATCAATTTGGTCTCGCCTCGTCGAGAAAGCCTCCTTGAAATACGTGAGACAGGAAGAGAGTAGACAGTGCTGAGAGATTAAGAGAAGTAACACAGATGCATTGCTAAAAATAATGAACGATGGATATGAAGGCAAAAAAAGTAGAGAGTTATGCAGAAAGACGAGGCTAGGAATAGTGAGGTCCGTAAGGAAGGACGGCTTTCTCCAGTAGGAATTTGGTGTTATCGAGGGTAATATACATTTCGATTGTTATGCTGGATAAAACTGAATGTTAATGTGAAAATATAATATCAACACAAATGCAAAGACTGTTGCTGCTTGTGTGTGAATAAAGACCTTTTCTTTGAATCATTGCATGAACTCGTATTGAGTAAATTGGTGTTAAGGCAAACCTTACAGAGGATAGAGTTCAAAATCTCTGCTCTCGCTTTCAAGGCCTTCCATGGCTTTGCCCCTTCCTAAACTGTTAATTCTTTATCAACCTGCCCACTCTCTCCGCTCAGCGGGCTCTGGCCTGCTGCACTTTCCCTGCACGGCCCACCCCACCATCGGCTATCAGACCTTCACCTTCTCTAACCCCAAACTTTGGTACTCCATCCCACATTGCCTCCACTTTGCTACCCCCCATGTCTCCGTCCAAGGCACGTCTCAGGACGAGCAAGCCAGTGGAAATAGTTTCTCCTCTTAATCTTCTCTGCTCCCGGGAAAATAATCCTTGCTTCTCTACTCGCTCCTGATTACTGAAGACCCTCATTCCTGGTACCATCTGGTAAATCTCCTTTACACCTTCTCCAAAGCCTTGACATCCTTCCTAAAGATTGCTACCCAGAACTGAACACAGTCTCTAGCTGAGGCCTAACCAGTTTTATGAAGGTTCACCAAACTTTCTAACTCTTGTATTCTATGCCCCTATTTATAAAGCCTAGTATCCCAAAATCCATCACTTCGCATTTCTCCACATTAATCTTCATCTGCCATATGACTGCCCATTTTACCAGTCTGTCTATCTCCTTTTGCAGTCTTCTACTATCCTCCTCACTGTTGACTACTTTTCATAGCTTAGTATCATCTGCAAACTTGGAAATTGTACTCGCTATACGCAGGTCCAGGTGATTTATACTGATCTACACATCAATTGTCCTAATACTGACCCCTGGGGTACATCACTGCACACTTCAGGCAGAAAAATAACTGTTCACCACCAATCTCTGCTTTCTGTCTCCCAGACAGCTTCTGTAGCCATGCCGTCACTGTTCCTTTAATACCGTGGGATAATCTATGTTCACGTGTTACAGGCCATCAGAGTCAGACACAGCGAGTGGTGCCTTTCTGCACATGTCTGTATTACATGTGATTACTAAAGGTGATATAAACTCAGATAGCAGAAAGTGTGCTCAAATTCATTTCAATACAGTTACGATTTATTTCCTCGTTTTCCCCCCATGGTACATAATGTAAGAAATCAATGATATCAAAAACGAACTTAATTTATATACAGCCTTTTACATCGGGAGGACGTCCCGAGACATAAATCAGTGATTGAGTATATTTTCTGATTGTTGGTGGCAATTCTACAAACTAAGTGATTCAATTCACCTAAAGTGTGATGGTCATCACAGGGACAAACGTCATTTTCCGCTCTATGTTTCTCTTCTCTCAACACAGTTCCGGTGATGTCCCTCTGAATCAGAAAGTTGTAGGTTCAGGTCCAAGGTCGAGACTTTGAGCTACAATTCTAGGCTAATGCTCCAATGCCTTAAAGGGTTCATTCTGTATTGTCGAAGCTGTAGTTCCAGATGCTCAAATACGCTATCCAGCGTGATGGGCGCTACATATTTCAAACTTGTTGTTCTTGTCCTTCAGATAAGATGTTGAAACGAGGTCTGCGCGTCCTGTTGAGGTGTAAGTTAATGATCTCATAGCATTGCTCCTAAAGTGAAAACGGTCCCTGGGTATCATGGCCAACAATTCCCCAAAGAAAATTGGTTATTCACTTAATAGCTGGGACATCGCTGTGTGCAAATAAGGTGACAACTTCATCAACAACAGAAACAATAAATCAAACAATCTTGTGTAAAGTGTTATTATTATTAATGCAAGGGTTATTATTTAATTAGAAGTTGAATCATTGTTATTATCATTCAGTTATTTCTATATTTCACCTGGACACATGCATCGTGAGCTACATATTGAAATGTGTTTATAGAGAGAAGCTGTTCACTTGATTGTAAGAAGCTGTAAGGAATATAAATGTTGGTGCAACAATGGAAAAAATGTATTTTACTTCTGTCATATCTATCGTCAAACTTCTACTAAATATCATTGTAACTTGATACACAATGTACTGAAATCATCAGATTTGTATTCATGATTTCAAATAGCTTTAAAAACAACACAGAATGATATTCAATATGGTAATGCGTTCAACGATTAACTTCTCAGGTTCCAGATTAAATTTGATACGTTTGCTCATAAATTTAAATCAAACCAATCTTCGCAATTGTCTTACTCCATGTACTCCGTTTCCTTTCATTCGAGTTGTCAGAATCTCGTGGTGTAGCCTAAAATTGTTGGTAAACATTTTTTTAATATCCGTTTTATGCTGCAACAAACTAATCTTTATTATATTCACTTTTTGCTCACAAAATGTAAAGTTGGCTATGTATGCCGTGAAGAAATTTGAGAAGTCTCGACGACTCTATCAAATTCAATGATTATTATTATTAAACTGAAGAGAATGTTGTTTCCTTAGCTCTATATTTCAGCTTTAGTATCATGTAGTTACTTATTATAAACGTGAATGATTTTGATGAAAATTAAGAAATAATGCAATACACGGAAAATAAAAATTAATTGCTAATATTTAACCATATTTCCTGCTGATCTGAAGAGTGATTCCACTTACTAATGAAAAGCACATTTGTTTCCAATCGCATCCAACTCATTTCTGAACCACGGATACAGTAAGTCATAAGACATTGCAAGGTATTTCATATTAATCAATCAGGAAACATTTGTTATACCCAGAAACTGGTTCAGGGAGACTCTCAACAAGTGATCACAGTGACGGTAAGTGATGTTTTCCCGTATCTTTCTCTAATGAGAATTATTGCCACAGCTGTGTACTTCTACGATAGCATAGTTTAACTACAATACAATATAGAAGAAGAGTTTCAAAATGTGTAAAGTGAATAGATCGGTCTTACTTTCTTCCATCTTTCTCTCGCTCGCTTATTTATTTCTTCCCTTTTAGTCCTCTGTATAATAATAATAATACTTGCATTTAATGTAGCGCTTTTCACTTCTTCTGGATGTGTCAAATTGCTTCACAGAATATACTGTAAAGTGATTTGACTATATATTTGTGGGCGAAATGAATTATGAGCACTAATTATAAGTTAATTCATTTGCTGGTGATGCAACAATTAAAGGATTCAGTATCCTGAAGAATGGATAGCATTAAAAGATAAAAACCTTAAATTCACCTGCAAGATTAACGATAATAAACGAGGTTCAGAGATAACGCTTTACTGGTGGAAAAAAGGAGAGAGTAAATTCTTACACGCAAAACCTGAGAACAGGAAAATATTTGATTCCAAAACGTTCCAGTTCATAAATGTGAATGTCCACGACTCAGGAGTCTATTTCTGTGCAGTGGTCCATCAGGGAAAACATCACAAAATGGAACTGGATCATGTTTAATTCTACATGGGAATACAATAGCAACCGAGAATATTGAAAGGAGTCTATTGGGGCATTTTGGACTTGAGATACGTAAATTATTTGTTTATTTCTCTCCGCTCGACTGTATGTACAACACAAAGCAACAGATTTTAATTGAACATGAAACACATTTATCAATAGAATATTCTTCAACTGAAGTTTTGCCTCTTTGTTACTGTACTGATGTGAGCCGGTGGGTTTATACAACACAGCAAAGTGGGAATTCGAGTTGCTGGAAATCTGAAACAAAAAGAGAAGTTGCTGGAACACTCAGCAGACCAGGCAGCAT